AGGGCGAGGGATGCGATATAAGTGAATATGGATGACGAGTGGTAGCTGTGTTTTGCCGCAGGCCAGATAAGCTGTCAGCCACCGATGGAGATTGATGCCTCTCACATTAATCTATGGCTTGTCTACCCTATTTTTTTCTACCATTGCCAACCAGGTCTACTCTTTCGCTGGATGAGAACTAATGCGAATACGCCACGCTCGATCATGTTATTTCATTTCTAAGGCAGTCTTTTTAAGCCCGGCGCCAAATTAATAGCCCATGAAAAGTAGTGCGTTGCCATAGCGTAACAGAAGTTTCTCTTGAAATTTTATGATTGCGAAACTCAACGGCTCGTTCCCTCTATATTTTAAACATGTAATCCGCGCGATATTTCTCAGACTCTTTTCGTTTTATTTCTTAGCGACTGAAGAGAAGTTCGTCAAGAAATTACCAAGGGAGCGTTTAATTTTAACAGCGACGGTACGCGAGCGGCAATTATCTTAGAGTCGTAGCGTGGCATAATTTTTGTTATCACAACGGAAACTAGCGAAATCGCGAGAGTCGCGGCATAACTCAGCCCCGTGTGCACACATCCAGCCCGATAACCTCGTTTCGCGCGTTATCAGCGCTTCCTTTTTCGCGTGAAAATTTCCACTTTTCATCGACGGTGCCTCGCGATGAAACGCGATTTACTCCGGAGCTACGACTCCGTACCGGTTTTGAATTTCATGAGAATACGTCCGGCGAGAGGCGGACCTCTCGTTGCGGGAGGGGCGAAAAAAGAGGAGAGAACGCAAGGAGGGAGATGCGCGCAACGTTTTACTGAATTTTTAGAGCAATGTGAAATTAAAGCGACTTTTAATTGGCGGCAACGCGGCGCGCCTTTGCAGACTTCTAATTTTTTAATTTGACTCTTTGTGCGCGCGTCGGCTACCTTTTATTCAACGAAGAAAATGCATTTTCTCGTTAATATTCCTTTGCTCTTTGCCGACCGCTCCGGCGGATATACGAAGAGGCTGTTAAAAATGCTGCGACGCTTTCATAAATCCCGTTTTCTTTTTGTTGTTAAACGATTTCTTCCTGTACGTGATTTTCCAAGATACGATCTCGTTTCGCGAAAATGTTTTATTCCGCCCTCCTATAAAGTCAGATTGAATTTCGTTCGGCAAGAAGCAATTATCCGACATAAATTAGCGGCAGTTGTGTTCCCTTGCCTATTTAAACGTTTTAAAATAGTCCAATTTCGAGGCTGCGTATTTTTAAAACAACTCCACCTTCTATACCTCGTTCTGCAACGTCATCTAATTATCTGCCCTAAATTATATGTACTAAGCTCCCTTCTGCGCGCACGTGATGCAATAAACTCTCGAATAAACACCTCGCCACAATTCAAGGGTTCCGTTTCAAAAGAACGTGCTTTTTCTTTCCGACCACCGACCCAGCGAGTTTCCCTCGCGCACTTTGCCGCCGACGTAACCCGTTTGGTCTCGGGACGTCACCTCCACCCTATCGCGAACAAGGTCGGAGGTTGTAGATGGCGAATCGACAGAGGTATGAGAGATAGTACGGGGCCCCCCCGGACAAAGTTTGTCGCAAGTTTAGATTGAGTTCAATCTCCGAACACACACACAAACGGACAGACGGACACGCGCGCGCGCACACACACACACAAATGCATACAGCGTGCCACCTTCCTCGCACCTTCTAGCCTATCGTGACTCAACCGCCGGTCCTTTCTCGGCTCCTTGCACCCCAGCACGGCCAGCTTATCGCCTAATATCCAGCCGGAGGTGGAAATGTCGAGACGTTTCGTGCCCAGAGACCCGCCGTCTTCGAGTTCGCGCTTCTATGCCTTCTGGCCCCGTCCCGCCTCCCCCCTTCCGCCCCCCTGAAGGTGACAAAGTAGCCGTCCAAAGTAGAATTGTGTGGCGCGGTCGTAAAGTTTTTCCTTTTCCCAGAAACTATTGACGCCCGGGATGCTTATCAGCGAAAGCGGTTCAACGTCACCCTCGCTGCGCTCGACGAGCGCCTCGCGAGGGCTCACAATGCAACCACGTGGTTGCTGATTGTGCGGTTTGCTAATGCGTTTCTGGGATTGCAGTGCATTGCGCGCAGGAAGCTGACGATTCCACGAGGGCGCGCAGAATACACAACTACAAAGCTCGACGACTTAATATTCATAAATAAAGAAGGAGTATAAAATCTGCCACAGGAAAGTACCGATTATTTGCTCGTAGGGGAATGAAAAACCACTCTCCTTATACTCGCGTAAAATCGAGCGCACTGAGAAAAATTTCCATCGGATAAACCAATCGGTGTTTCCGATGGTTAATTCTTCCGATCACGTTTCCCGACTAAATTATGGATGCATTCGATAAAAGTTGATTGAAAAGTCGATCACATTTTTCATCGGATACGCAATCGGATATTTTTCCCCGTGCGTATTAAAAAAAAACCGCAATTTGTTTATCGCGCTCGTTGAACGGGAACGAAATTACCGATTTCATCGCAGCATCGATCGCAATCGTGGGAACATTTCAGAGGGGTATATTCCGGGTGTGTCAACCGCCTAACGATGTAACGTTGCGTACGTTAAGAGCACATCACGTAAATCAAGTTAACGTGGCACCGCGACGAAAGCCTTCGCCGGCTCGCCGTCGGTGAAATTCGCCTTTAGCTCTTCTCTTCCCCCGCCGTGGCCGTAAAATTCGATCAGGAACGCCGTATTCTCGTTGGCTGATGGCGTCATTACCTTACTTCGCCATTTTGCCGACAACACAGCGAACAAGGGAGCTACACGGCGGAGGAAACGAGTCGCGTGTTCCCCCTTAGAAATTTTGCGGGATGAACTTTTTCGTGTGTATCACGTTCAATAGCGGACAGAAATGTCTAATACTTTTATTTCGCTGCTACGCCGCCGCGCATTTCGCCGCGGAATAAATTCTATTCTAGCTTCCCGAGCTTCATTTTGAAGCCGAAGTCTCTCCCTCTCTCTCTCTCTCTCTTTCTCTCTCTTTATATCTCCAAGTTGTGCGGCTGACTTTTGATTTCTCGCTAACGCGCATTGTCGCGCATTACGCTAAAAGCGTACGGGAATAAACCTGGAGAAAAATATGAAAGAATTGAGATTGACGATCCAGAAGAAAGGGCACTATTGAGAAAAAGTAGCGCGATGCGGAGGCAGCCAGACGTCGGGCGTTTCCTTAATTGCATTTTTATGCTCGCCCGGATTTCCGGGACGGCGAAAGGGTCCAGGGGTCCAAGGAGAAGAAAGGAGTTTATTATACCGAAGGCAGAAACTCTGTCACGAGTCTGCGGTTAACCATTAACGCATCCCGACTCCTCCGCGGAATGAACGAGATCGGTGCGACGTGGTCTTTGCTTAGTCGGAGAATTTCGAGCATGGAGAATATCCGTCTACGTTGGTCGACACAGAAATAAGAAATGGAAGGTAATAGAGTACTAATCAAATTCGATAAAATATATGAAACCAATTTATGAACTTATTTATTAAGAAAGTGAGTTATTTATATACTTCAGAGCTAATGTAATTACTAAAAAATGTAAAATTTCCACAAGATGTCTGTTTCAAAGTGGAACATCTTGAGCGAAGAGAGAAAGAGAGAGATATATTCAAAACTAATTATAAAAAAGTCTGACTGAAACGTCCAATCTAATTTCAATCTTAACTGAAAGTAGATTGGAATTGGAAAACGATCGTCTTGACCTTTCGGAAAATCTCGTTTCCACAATTAATGAGAGGTAAGAGTTCAACGATCTCCCTTAGACGTTACGAGAAACCAGAAAATAAGCAATTTTTTTTAATAAGCTAAAAAAATAACGCAAATAAAAAATGGGAGGAGTTGGTATCCCTTTTTATTTCCCGTAAAAAAAATTGAGAATTAATTACGCGCTTTTTAAACTGATGTACTTCGAATACTGCTTCTCGAGTTTCAAACAAAAGCAATGGAATTATTGTACGCTGCGTAATGTACAGTGATAATCGGACTGTACTTCGTAATTTCATAATCATTTTTTCGTAACGTAATTAGCGTCTCATAAGAGTTCTCTCATTCCGGATCACGGCTCCTCTCCGTCACGTCTCCGATTTCATGAGCGGAATCGCGTTTCCGTGTTATCCTAAATATCCCCGGAAACTCGATAGCGTAGTTGGACAATGGAGCAGAGTCCCGATGGAAATACGAGAAAGAAGAGAGAAGTGAATTCCGACTACACGGGGCTGCACCGAATTCGTGTAACAGTCGCGAATAAGTTCGAACTGTCTTGTAACATCGACCGTCCGTTCTATCGGGCGGGCTGTCTCTCGCTCCATCCCCTATCTTCTCGCTTCTAGATTTATTGAAATTTTATGCGGTATCCCGATGAGGTCCGACTCGAAAGTTTTATCGACGGCCGCGATGGGTGGTCGGACCTTATATTACGCGGGGGGGAAAAAAAAGAGAGCGAAGGCCGGCTTCTATTTTGCTGCTCAAAGCTATATTCATTTTCCTGCGCTCCCTCTCTCTTTCTCTCTTCATATGTGTATGAGCATGAACGCTCCGGATATCTCGGTCAAAATGAAAAAATAAAATCCCTATAGACAACTACTGTCTGATTCATGATCGTAGTTACATATATTTCTTTTTAACAACAGAATCATATCGAGGCAATTTTTTTCAAATATTAAAGTTACTGCAACTTGTTCAGATAACACGATTTTTCGCGGCTTTATGTCTCTACTTTAACCAATCTTCCGCGCGGGGAAAATCCCGAAGAGCTCATAAAAAAAGAAACTTAATCCCGCGTTATCGAAAGCAAAATCGCGATAACGTACGTCGGCACGTTTCTCTGTCGAAACGACGATACTTTTATTTCGTATTCTCGTCCTATCGCGCTCTTAATTTCCACGCGCGGCAATATCGTTCCATCAGCGCGCACCGGGGAAACCATTTGTCGGCCGCCGACGAGAGAAAGAGAGCGAGAGTGAGAAAGAAAACGTGACAGAGTTAACAGCACTCACCCTAGGTTATGGTTGTCCGTGTTGTCGGGGGCGTCGTCCGTCACGGAATCCTGCGTGAGGGGGCCCTGGGTGACGTCCACCCCCATGCTGCCCAAATCCAATGTGGCGTAGGTTCTGCGTGCCTGCACCCTCGTTCCACCGCCTCCGCCGCCGCCGCCGCCGCCGGTCACCTCGCCGCTTCTACCACCGTTGCCGACCAATTCCTGGTATAATTCATCGTACAGAGAACTGCCGTTTCCATTGCTGTTCAGAGCGTCGTCCAGCCGAGCTGGGTCCAGGTGGTAGTTGGGATTTTCGAAGGAGAGGAGGCCGTTTTCTGGAAACAGAGAGACACGTCTTGCTAAAGTAGCCGTTCCACAATTATCTGCGCTTTGACATGGAAACGCGTATCGCCTACCAGTTCTGCGATTCATCGGATATACCTCGATAGAAGTACTTGGTCGCAAGGGAACGCACGTTTTATTATTTTTCTACGTGCCTGTTTAACTGTTATTGTATATGCATGAGAACGATCGAAGATATTATCGATGCAAAATGCCCCGCTGTAACGACGGGGGAATTAATTATTCAGACGATTTTCAAGGCAATTCTTACGATAATTCTCATCAATCACGCAAATGGAGCAGCGGGGCAGCGAAACGTAAAACGACGAGCCGCGCGAATAATCAAGGAAGAATGGATATCGCGTTTCAGAGATCCCTATTGTAGCGGCCGGCTCGGGACGACTTGAAAGCAATTGTATCGTGTATTCGTCGTAGGAAATTAGACATCGATTTTGCGGGACGCATGCGTAGTCACTTCCCACGCTGACGTGACTGCACGTGATACAATGAGCGATCCCGTTTTCCTCGAGGAGCGTTACTTCGCAGAAATCTCGAACGGCCCCGTTGTTTTCGCGTGCGACGCCGCGTCACGACCGCGCGCGGTTCCGCGGCTTTAAATACCAGGCAGATAACGAGCGGCCAAAGGTCAAGGCTCCGAGTTATGGCGGACCATGGCAGCGGAGATACGATCGAACGCAGCTGCCGGTGCCTGCCTATGAGGCGCATCGCCAAAGGTCGCTCGATGCCGCGTATCGATACGCGGCCGACCGCGTCTCCGTCGTCGGGGTGAGACGCGTGCCGCCCCGTTTTAACGTCGCGGAATCCGGCGAGACTGGATGTATTTCATCGTCGAGGAATCGAACTCCCCGGTGCCGCGAGCGTGAAGAAATTGAGAGCCGTTTGCCCGACATAGGCCGCATGACAAGTGTTTCAAGTTTGGCTGTGCCTCTCGCGAAGGACCGAGTCGGGATCCAATTTAAGTTCGCGCTAATCTATCGCGGCGGCGATTACGGTAAGAAAGCTTGTCGCTCGAGATCGCCGAAGACGAGGTATTATCCGCGGCGAGGGAGTAATGGCACGAGCGTTAAGCTTTAAGCTCGGCCCGAGATAGATGGCCAAGTTAAATACTGCAGCCGCGGTTATCCGATATTCCGACTATCTTTGCGGTAACTCGCACGGAATACTAATAAAATTTATTCAGCGCGGTTAATATTAGCGGAGTACACCTCGCCCGTTAATATAGAGCTATGGGCCGCAGGAATTTACATCATGCAGCCCATTATGATAGCTCATACACGTCTGTTTGGCATAATTGCCGATACAACCAAAAATCCACAAATAGCTTCCCGACCGATACCAATGGAGAACACATTTCGCGTGCCGAGTTTCGGAGACACTTCTCCAAAGACCGTCCTTTGATCGCGTTCGTCGCCGAACGCCATCGTTACACGCAGCCGCAATTCATTTCGCAGAAATGATCTACGGACCTGCCCGATCGACGCCACGCTCTCGCTACTCACTGATAATCCTGAGAAAGACGGCAACGGCGAGAACGACGTTGCACAGGAACCGACAAAACGAGTCCATGCTGGTCTGACGGCTGACATGTTGGCGGAAAAGCTCGGCCCGATACTCCGCGATACTCTCGCAAAATAATCGGCTAAAGACGGCTTATCGACGCGCTATATCGGTGGAGGGCGCGAGCAAGAGCTCCGAGCCTCCGAATCTCTCCTTGGCCTCCTTCGTCCCTTCCTTCCTTCCTTCCTTTCTTCCGTCCGCAGCTCTCCTATCTGGTCTACGTCTACCCGTCTCGCTCGCGCCACCCGCTATTGATTCGACCACCGTGAGGCCTAAAGCTTCCCGCTTTCGAACGGAGCTTCTTTCTCGTCGGAGTGACTCGCGGCGCGAAGGCTGATAGGCCGAACTAAAAATACCGCGACGTCTCGTCCCATTTCAAACTTCCAATTCTGTACCTGAGAAACGGCGAGATTTAAATCCAGGTTTCCTCTTCCCTTTCTCTCGTTAATTAAATATAAATACAGCGCAGTTAATTCCGAGTCCGACTACCTCTACGCTCCGGATAGAAAATTCTGCGGCTCGGGAAGAGAAGTGTACAACTAACGACGCTATAAAATCGCAGACAGATGCGCCAAACGTGAATTTGCGGATGTCCATTCAGTCCGCGTTCGCTCGGCGTCGTCAATAAACACCATAGTTTCGCGTTTATGGCAGGCGCGGTCGCGACGTAAATACCAATCACGAATCTGCGATTCGAGAAGCGAACGGGCGATGAACTCTCATCATCCGCGTCGGTACGTTCCATCATTCAAACAACGTTTGCGCGTACGTAACGATCTTCCCTTTTATTTTTTTTTTCGAGGGTCGGGTTAGCGTACGGTCACACAAAAAAGCCTATTAACTTGTTGCACATGAAACGACGCTAAACGAGTTACGCGGTGAAAAATACGAACCTTCTTCGTGGGAGTTAATAATGTCGAAAAAAAGCACGGTTTAACTGATCACTTATTTTAATAGATTAATTGACGCCGCTTGTATCGTTTACAGCAAAGAGAGACACCACCTCGCCGATCGATCAAAGCTAAAATTAATGGCCTTGTTACTTTGAATTTTTCTTTGCTCGGCAGACAAAGCACCGGCATGTTGGCAACGTTCTTTTTTTCGCGACGAGTTAATTAGTTAATTAGTTGAAAGGTTAAATCGTTTGACATCTTAATATCGTCGTTTAACTTTCGGGAACAGCGGTTGTTGGTGCAATTTATGCAACGCTATAAATTTGTTATTCATTCGTGGAAATGTCACGAAGCCCGGGAGAGCCTTTTTATGATGCATAAAAAAAACGGCTTAACTAAATAATTATTTTATAACGCACGATGCTCCGACGCCGCAAACGGTAATTGCAGTAATTAATAACAGAATGCGCCATAAAATTTATATTTTACGAACAACTGTACGCGCGTTACACGAGCTGAGCAGGGCTGAAAGTTTCATTACACGATACCCTATGAGGTACTATCATTTAACAACTCGTTTGTGAAATAAAATAAAATGTCTTTGCAAGTTTACGCATACTATCTGCGTTATATTTAAAAATACTCCCATGTAAAATTTTATTTTCGACTGCACCAATTTATAAAAAAACATTGCGTTTTTAGCAGAGAGCACGATTTTTGCCCGCGGATCCAATTAAACTTCTATTTACAAAAATCGTTACGCTCTTTTTTTCCCCCCCGAAAGTTCGTTAGTATTTGGCAAGATTTGTAATTTGCGGGACATTTAAAAGGAGGCCGTACGAAATGAAATCGAAGAAAGAGGACAAATGAATCGGCGAAAGGGCCGACAAATTGTCTAGCAACGACATTCCGCCACGTGCTCGTTACAGATACGTGCGAGTGCGAGCGACGACTGGCACTCCGCTGAATGCATCTCGTTATTTTTGTCGTGCGAAAATCCTGCCGCGCGGGAGGGGGCTGCGGGGAGACGGGCGTACGGCGAGATGTGTTTTAAAGTTCGAGAGCACGTCCGATGCGCGAGAGGAGCGAAAAGTATTAAGGCGACTAGCGCGGGAAGACTCTGAAAAATACCCTACGTGCTCGTTAAAATCCCATCTTAAAAAATCTCTCACGTGGCGCAACCAGACGCGCGTTGTGTTTGAAAGAGACGAATAAAAAGGAAGATGGAAATAAAAATGGGGGGGGGGGAGGAAGGGGGCGCTTGGACGCGTTTAACGAGTTTCGTAAAGCGAGAAGCCTCCTTTGGATAGAATACTTTGTCGCATACTTTTGAACTCACTTTGTCGTATGGCTGTCTTTGAAGTACTGTCCTCCTTTGTTTATAAAAAAAACCAACGATGTAACACATGGAGCGTGTAAAAGAAAGATTCTTTTGGAAACATTTCAGAATATTTTCGCAAAACAATCCTGCGTGTCGAAAATTCGAGCTCTACGCATGCTGCTGAAAACAGAGCTTGAATCGCCCGAATGTCGGAGTTCCGACTTTTACGTACGCATTTTATTTGGAACAAGTTTGCGCATTTCCAAGATTGGGGAAATGGAGAATTGGCGGGATCAACAGGAAGGCGTTTGCTAACGAATCGACGGCGAACGAGAGATTCGCCAGCTACCTGTTACAGACGTTATGGCGCGACAGCGTAGCGTTTGCAGTCGTTCCGCGAACATGTCTCGTTATTTCGCGTGGAATGAAGCAGTTTAAAGTTTGAACGCCTGTTGGGATCGCGGAAAGGGCTACGCGAATGAGACAATTAAGAGCGGCAAGGATAACCCAGAAATGCGGATGGTGTTCGAAGTTGTTTCACGGGGCGTTCCGGAATTCATTCGCGAGAACGAATTCCGCCGAGCTTGTGGATTTTATTTCGCATTAGATTGGGCAAACTTGGCGACGCAAATGACAAATTTTATATCGGCGAGCACAGCACGCGTAATAATTCTTAATTGTGCCTTAATTGTACGCGTTAACAGAATTTCAGACAAACGTTCGGAAGCCGTGTTCAATATTCGCTATTATCATCAGACTGAGAACAGCAATTACGGCGATAACTTAACTGGATTAAACGCCACTTGGATCTTGCAGGGGAAAGTGACTTTCGAAAGGAGCTGACTCAAACCGGTACAGACGGGGCGACAAATTGGCTGCGGGCAAAGTCGCTCGCGTTCCAGTTCGCGGTGCCCCGAGCAAAAGTGCGCGGCGCAGTTGCAGCTGCATACTTTGGGTTTGCGTCCCGTTATTTCGCCGCCCCGGAGGAACCCGCGCACACAGCCCAACCGAAAAGTGGGCTGCTGCGGAAAGTTCTAAAGTTTGGACATGCTTTCGCAGGGAGACGAGGGGGGGGGGGGGGGGTGAGAAGTGTACAAGCCGGAAGCGAGCAAGGGCGAAAGAACGAAGTTGAGGGTGGCCGGAGAAGAGTGCTGTAGGCAAGAAAGGCAGAAACAAAAAAACCAAGAGGAGGGAGAGCGGA